AAAAAAAAAAAAAAAAAAAAAGAAGAAAAAGAAAAAGAAGGCCTGTTCCAAGCAATGTGGAAGCAGCCACAGCTAGTGAGGAAGGCAGGTGATGCTCACCTCTTCCTTCCTCTCCATAGCCCAGGTGAGGGGGGACCACAATCCTTCGCTTCTCTCCGATGCAAACACCGAGTAGACCTTCATCCATCCCAGGAATCACATAGCCCTGCCCAATGTACGTGTCAAAGGTGCGGTTCCGAGAGTAGCTAGAAAAAAAGAAAGGAAAGGAAGGGGTCATTCAAAAGAGACTCCACAGCAGCTGTACAAATCAGTCGGGACGGACATGCAAAGGAACACAGAGGCCTCCAGACCCCAGAGCGATATAAACCACAGCATCTGAGGACACAGCCAGGAAACACGCTCTCCTGGAAGGTAGGTAGCAATCCCCACACAGCATGTGAACAGCCATCTGCAGAGACTCCGTGCAGCCCTCCGGTTTGGTCAGGTTATGAATGCAGTGTGGGTTACGAGAAGCACCACACAGAAATGGAGCTAATGTAAACTGAACAGTATACTTTCTTTTTCTGAGGCAAGGTCTCACTCTGTCACCCAGGCTGGTATGCCGGTCACTGCAGTCACTGCAGCCTCAACCTCCCAGGCTCAAGCAGTCCTCCCACCTCAGCCTCCCAAGTAGCTAGGACTTCAAGCACATGCCACCACAAACATTTTTTTTTTGTAGCAATGGGGTCCCATGATGCTTCTAAGGCTGGTCTTGAGCTCCTGGGATCAAATGATCCTCCTGCCTCGGCCTCCCAAAGTGCTGGGTTGACAGGCCTGAGCCACCACGCCCAGCCTGTACACTTGATAACCATGTCAAGTTAACGAAAACAAGTTCTCAACCAGCCTGGGCAACATGGTAAAACTCTTGTCTCTACAAAATCACAAAAATGAGCTGGGTGTGATGACACACACCTACAGTCCCAGCTACTAAGGAGGCTGAAGCCAGAGTATTGCTTGAGCTAGAGAGGTTGAGGTTGCAGTGAACCAAGATCCCAGCACTGCACCCCAGCCTGGGTGATAGAGTGAGACCCTGTCTTGAAAGCAAAAAACAGAAGCAAACATAGCCCTTATCAGAAACTGCAAATGTGTCACAAGGACAATGTCTGCAGTATCTAAAGAGAAGATATCTGCATATGTGGGACATGAATATTCTATCTTGTTTGATTTTTAAATTACTTTCTTCTTTTTTTTTTTTTTTTGAGACAGGGTCTTGCTCTGTCACCCAGGCTGGAGTGAAGTGGTCTGGTTTCAGCTCACTGCAGCTTCAATCTCTGGATGCAAGTGATACTCCCTCCTCAGCTCCTCAAGTAGCTGGGACTATAGCATGCAACACCATGCCTCGCTCATTTTTGTATTTTTAGTAGAGACAGGGTTTCACCACGTTGCCTAGGTTGGTCTGGAACTCGTGGGCTGAAGCGATCTGCCTGCCTTGGCCTCCCAAAGTGCTAGAATTACAGGCCTGAGCCACAGCCCCTGGCCTGACATGAAGATTCTGATTGCCAGGAAAGTAGCATACACACTGAAAGCAATGAATTCTGCAGTCTCCACCACAGGCCGACAAAAGGCCCCCACTGTCACCCCTGCTCATTGCACCACCCTAGTGAATACTTGGGTTTCCCAAGTGCTCCTGGCAGGAGGCCCGAGTCCACTCAGAGGAGAGATCCAGCCTGTGTGTAAACTGCCAAGTGAGTCTATTACCATGAGTCTGGTAAAAAGAGGAATCAATTCTTCCCCACAGCATAATGATTCCGGAATAAAATAATAAAACTTCATATGCCAAGTCTACTATCAAACTGGTCCACGTGACCTGCACCCCTTCCCTACACCACCTGGTGCAGATGAGGCAGAAAATCCGTCCTTTAGGAGCCGGTCGGTCCTGCCATTCCCCCACCCCGCAGCCAGGGCATGATGCCCCAGAGAAGAAGGACCCGTCAAGTGGGGCCAGCAGGCAGAGCTGTGGGGCTCTCCCTTCTCAATACCCCTCAGAGACCAGAAAGCCACGGGCCACAAAGAAAGGATCACAACAGATGTCTCTCCTCACCCAGGAAGCAGGAGATTGTCCACATAAACTCCCAGAAGAGGCTGTGAGTCCCCCTTCCCGCCTACTGAGGACAGCACCCCAGGCTGAGCAGCTCCAAGCCTCCTCCCCGCACAAGGGCCAGGAAGGACTGGAGGGGAGCACAGCAGGGAAAAGGAGGACCATGCCGGCTCCCAGCATCCTCCAGCCAGAGCAGGGCTCACCCTCCCCAGGTTCCTACCTGTAGGACCCTGGGGATCACCAGCAATGTGCAGCCACAGCCAGGCATTCAGGAAAGAGGACACCTACGTGGTGGGCTCCCCACAAAGAGACACCAAGTAGTGAGAGAGACGGCAGGTACCCACAGTGGGGACTGCTGCCCATTGGAATAGTCACAAAGGTTCCATGGAGGAGAGGAGACAGCAGACACGAAGGCTGTGGGATCTGCCTAATGGATGAGCACTGGGCTGGCAGCAAGGGCCAAGCCAAGAAGCAGGAAAGAGCCTCAGAAGGGGAGACGGAGGGGTGGGGTGGGCTTGAATTATACTGAACTGAATAACTTTAAAAGTTAAAGACAAGTAAATGGAAAACCATCCTGTTCCCCAATGGAAAAGCAAAGTTATCAGTCCTCCCCCAAACTGACTTAAAATTTTTTTTTCCATTTCTTTTTTTTTGAGACAGAGTCTCACTCTCTTGCCCAGGCTGGAGTGCAATGGTGCGATCTTGGCTTACTGCAATCTCGCCCTCCCGGGTTCAAGTGATTCTCCTGCCTCAGCTTCCCAAGTAGCTGGGATACAGGCATGGCCACCACACTCGGCTAATTTTTGTATTTTTAGTAGAGACGGGATTTCACTGGGCCGGGTGTGGTGGCTCACCCCTGTAATCCAAGCACTTTGGAGGCCAAGGTGGGCGGATCACCTGAGGTTGGGAGTTCAAGACCAGCCTGACCAACACGGTGAAACCCTGTCTTTAAAAAATAATAATAATAATAAAGAAAAAAAAAAAAGAGATGGGGTTTCACCATGTTGGCCCAGGTGATCTTGAACTCCTGACTTCAGGTGATCCATCCGCCTCAGCCTCTCAAAGTGCTGGGATTACAGGGGTGAGCCATCATGCCTAGCCTGAGCCATCACAGCTGGCCCAAAGTAACTTAAAAATCTTAAAACAATTCCAATCAAAATCCCAAGGGTGTGTATCTGGTGTTGGTGGAGAGCTTAGTAAAGTAATGCTAAAATTCATCTGGAAAAAGAAATAATTAAGAATGCTGTTGTAAAGGTACAGTATATAGCGAGCTATCATTCTCGTTAAAAATTAGAAGAGGGGAATATATACACATGTGCACTTTATTATATATGTATGGAAGACCTATGAAATTAATAATACTGGGCCAGGCGAGGTGGCTCATGCCTGTAATCCCAGCACTTTGGGAGGCCAAGGGGGGCGGATCACTTGAGGTCAGAAGTTTGTGACCAGCCTGGCCAACATGATGAAACCCTGTCTCTACTAAAAATGCAAACAAAATTAACCGGGCATGGTGGTACATGCCTGTAATCCCATCTACTGGGGAGGCTGAAGCAGGAGAATTGCTTGAACCCGGAAGGCGGAGGTTACAGTGAGCCGAGATCTTGCCATTGCACTCCAGCCTGGGCAAAGAAACAAGACTCCATCTCTAAAAAAAAAAAAAAAAAAGAAGAAGAAGAAAAGAAATTAATAACACTGGTTCCCTGTGAAGAGGGGAAGTGGGACAAGGATAGGAGGGAAATTTGTCGTTGTATACCTTTTTATACTTCCAGGATTTTAAATCACGTCAATGTATCACTTTGTCTTTTTTAAAAAAAGAAAAAGAATGCTCTCTACTCTACAATTAAAAAGCTAACACTGGTTAATCATAGTTAAAGGTGTGACGCTGGCCTAGGAATAGATCAAAGGTAAAGGATAAAAACTCTACAGACTCAAAATTACATATAAGAATTTAGTTCATAACAAAAGCCACATTTCAGAGCAGTGAGAAAATGACAGAGTCATTCATGAAGGATGTTGGAAAAACTAGCTAACCACCTGGAAAAAAATAAAGTTAAATCCTTCCTGTCACAGTGATACCACAATAAATTCCAGATGGATTAAAGGATTAAATGTGAAAGCATTTGTGAGCATAGAGAGAAGCTGCAGAACATTGCTAACACTGGTTATCTCATGGTCGTTAGAATGGAAGGGGCTGATAGGAAATTTACATTTTTTGCTATACCTTTTTGCATTGTTTTCATTATGCAATTAGGAAATATTACCTCTGACCCAGAGCAGTGGCTCATGTCCATAATCACAGCACTTTGAGAGGCCAAGGCGAGTGGATCACTCTGGCCAGGAGTTTGATACCAGCCTGGCCAACATGGTGAAACCTCATCTCTACTAAAAATACAAAAAAATTAGCAGGGTGTGGTAGTGCATGCCTGTAGTCCCAGCTACTCAGGAGGCTGAGGCAGGAGAATCACTTGAACCCGGGAGGTGGAGGTTGCAGTGAGCTGTGATTATACCACTGCACTCCAGCCTGGGCAACAGAGTGAGACTCTGTATCAAAAAAAAGAAAAAAAAAATGGCTGGGCACGGTGGCTCACACCTGTAATCCCAGCACTTTGGGAGGCCAAGGCGGATGGATCACCTGAGGTCAGGAGTTTGAGACCAGCCTAGCCAATATAGTGAAACCCTCCTCTCTACTAAAAATACAAAATTAGCTGGGCGTGGTGGCTCATGCCTATAATCCCAGCTACTCGGGAGGCTGAGACACAAGAATTGCTTGAACCTGGGAGTAGAGGTTGCAGTGTGCCAAGATTGCACCACTGCACTCTAGCCTGGGCAACAAAAGTGAAACTCTGTCTCAAAAAAAAGAAAAAAACATAACCTTTGACCCGGAGATTCTTCTAGAGATTGTTCCAGGGAAACAACTTATCATATGTTATAAGATTTGCCTACAAAAATAATTACTGCAGTCTTCATTAAATGTCAAAATACAGGAAACATAAAGGACAAACAACAGGGATTACCTAAATGTAGGCAAATCTATACAATGTAACATATGTAACTATTAGAATGGGCTAGATTCCACTGTACTAAAATGGAAAGCTCTTTGAAGCCTAAGAAAACTGTGGCTCCACTATGTGAACAAAAATCTGGTATACACAGAAAAATGGTCTTTCAATTGGAAATATAATTCCAGGTAATAAAGAATAGAACCACACTGGAATGTAACAAAAAATAACACGCACTTGCACTAAATGAATTTTTTTTTTTTGGTAACAGAAAAAGATAAAAACAACTCAAATGTTTCTCAATAGGGAATGGTTCTATAAATACGATATACTCACCCAATAGAACATCATGTAGATGTAAAAAACAAAGGATTTCTCTCTGTGTATTAGCGTGGAAAAATCCCAGGGTAACAAAAATCAAGGAGCAGAACAATACTTGTTCCTTAGTAATACTATATTCTAAAAGAGGAGAAAATAACATTTGTGTTTGCTTATATTTGCATTTTTAAAAATCCACACATTAGGCCAGGCACAGTGGCTCACGCCTATAATCCTGAGTCAGGCGGATCACCTGAGGTCAGGAGTTCGAGAATAGCCTGGCCAATATGGTGAAACCCATTTCTACTAAAAATGCAAAAATTAGCCAGGTGTGGTGGCACACGCCTGTAATCCCAGCTACTCTGGAGGCTGAGACAGAATTGCTTGAAGCTGTGCAGTGGAGGTCGTAGTGAGCTGAGATTTCGCCACTGCACTTCAGCCTGGGTGACAGAGTGAGACTTTTCTCAAAAAAAAAAAAAAAAATCCATATATTGGAAAAATTAAAAATAGAAACTAATAAAAATGGTTAACTCTAAGGGGTAGGGGACAAAGGGAGGTTAGGCAGACAGGGACAGGAATACAACATATCTTAATGCATAGTTTGTTTTAATTTTGAGCTATGTAACTATTACTCTTTTCCAGGAAATGTAAATGAAATGTAAAAGAGATCCTAGGAACAAGAATGACAGTGAGCCGAGATCACACCCATTGCACCCAAGCCTGGGCGACAGAGCGAGATTCCACTTCAAAAAAAAAAAAGGCAGGGCGTGGTGTTGGTATGGTATTATTCAAATGAAATAATACCATATACAAATTCTTCTGTAATGGTTTTGGATGACTACTAGAAGTCTATCACCTCAGAGACGGGAAGGTTGCTGTTGCTACTTGTTTGCTCTACTGGAAGCTGAAGGAGTAGTTTCAAACAACACATGCCACTGGAATGAGCAAGACAGGCCAAACACCAGCCATCTCTGTACAACTGCAGGCCATGCCTGATAAACAAAACAAAACTTTGAACCACAGAAGAGGCCCAGTAATTAGCCGCTATGGAACCCAGCATCCAGAAGGGAGCTGAATGCATCCAACCAGTGCCACCCAGCTGATCAGCCTCTGAAATGTGTAAAGCCCTGTGACACATACATTATCTCTCTAATCTAACCATTTACTTGACAAAGGCGCTGGAATAGGGAAAAATGGAGTCCCAAACAGTCAAATGCTATCCAAAGTCATAGAGCTAGTGCAGCACAGACAAGGGCTGGAGCCAGCTCTCTTGGCATCAAGTCCATTCTCTGCCCACTGTACCTCCTTGACATCACTTCTGGCCACTCCTCATCTTGGACCCCATCAAGAGGTTTATACCTGGAGAGCTGAGCATAGTATAGGGGGTGGTGAGAGTCGAGGGTGAGTCTCTCCTGTCTTCCTGCAGAACCATCTAAAACAGCCCCCAAGAAAGAGATGGTTACAACAGCCTATGAAGAAACTTAAGCCTATCTCCATAAAAAATAAAAAATTAGCCAAGCATGGGGGCATATACCTAGAGTCCTAGCTACTCAGGAGGCTGAGATGAGAGAATTGCTTGAGCCCAGGAGTTTAAGGCTTCAGAAAACCACGATCATGCAGCTGCACTGCACTCCAGACTGGATAGTAGAACAAGATCCTATCTCAAAAAAATTTTTTTTAAATGGAAAAGGAAAAAAAGGAAGGAAGGAAGGAAGGGTGGGAGAGAGGGAGGGAGGGAAGAAGTATCAGAAAACAGAAACCTGTATTAGAGATGAAAATACTAACTATGAATCAGCATTGACACAGTATTTAAATCATGGTCCAGCCAATGGCAGACTTTATTTAATACAAAGTTCTGGCAATTGAAGACCTTAATAATTTCCTTACCTGGAATCAAAGAGGGTGCCATCCAGAAGTGTGCCATTGTAATGATACCTGAGAAAGTCCCCGCTTTGACTTATCCGCTCACAGTTTTTAGGTACTACCTTGTTCTCAATGGAAATGCTGTCCTTGGGGTTATGGAGGTCTAATAGTGCAACATCAAACACCAGAGATGCCTGTCCGGGAATGTCTTTCCCTAGAATGAAATGGAGGAAGATGATTAAACAGGACACAGGATTTAGGAAGTACTTTACAGCTCAACAGCCTTGGGGTTGGTGTTATTCATTTCTGGAGAAGTTTTGAAGCCAAGGAAACAAATGTTCTTCCAGGTGTTGGATGGGCCCTCATGGTGTCCAACCATGGGCTGATGGTATAATCTAAAACCAGACTCAGGAAAAGGAGAAAACTGATGTTAATGACATAAGAGACTACTATGACCATATTTTCTGGGCTCATGCTGAAAAATCAAGGCTCTACGTAGGTGGGAATGCACCCACAGGCAAACCCAAATACATACCTCTGTGGGTTTCTGTTTGTGAATAAATGCAAACCACAGACATTTAAAGGAGAAAATTCCAAATCTCTGGTCTGGTTCTGGAGAACTGTACACAGACTTGTTTTTTTGGAACGAACGGCCAATTTTTTAGAGGCAAAAGTAAAACTCAACACTTTAAAGTGCATCCAAAGCAAGATATAAATAAGATGAAAGTTAGCAGAGATAACAGAGAAAAAAAATGGCACCCACAATCCAAAATATAAATAAATAGTCCTCAAATCACTTCTATCTCACTTCTGGGTAGTACTGCTTCTCTTGGATGTTCCTGATGGGGGAATATATTGAATATCTACAAAATAAAATCCACATGAAAAAATTATAGAGCTACTTCTTCCTGCAAAGATCAACATCAGCCAGTAGATAACTACAAATCCAGTAATTTGAGGTAACAGAATGTTAACCAACAAACCAGTCCCTCACTTTTACTTGTCATTTGTTATACCATGCAAAGGAGTAGGCCTGGGCAAGTGAACTAGATGCTGCCAAACCTGAGCTCCTTCCACTGACCTTTGGCAAAGCCCACCCTGCGTTTCCACTGGCCTTTGGCAAGCCCACCCTGCGTCTCCTTCCCCTCTGTGGAATGATGAAATCTGCTGAAAGCTGGCTGCTGAGTCAGCCCCTGGAATGCAAGGTACGGTCAATCCCTAAATCACATGTATAAGAGATATAGAATATCAATCTTTTGTGCTTTTCTGTATCTTTTCATTTAAAAGAACAATGAAAACCTTAAAAGTAACCATGGGGTTTCAATTTTTCTAGCATTAATGTGTACTAGATAAATAATATTTTCTATAGCAACTTTACAGAGATATAATTCACATACCATAGAGTTCACCCATTTAAAGTTATACTTGGATAGCTGAACATGGTATTCAAGTATAAAGTTTTCAAAAATAGCTACCCTAAATAAACTATTATTTATTTAAAATTAATATTTCTCATATTAGGCTCACATCTGGTTTTGTTATGTGGCTGATGACAAAAGGAGCTGGGAGCCAATGTCAATGAACTTCTTGGGGCCAAGGACAAGACCACTGGAACATTAATAAGAAAATAGTGGCCAGGCACAGAGGCTCCCACCTGTAATCCTAGCAATTTGGGAGGCCGAGGTGGGCGAATTACCTAAGGCCAGGAGTTCGAAACCAGCCTGACCAATATGGTGAAACCCTGTCTCTACTAAAAATACAAAAATTACCTGGGTGGGCACCTGCAGTCCCAGCTACTTGGAAGTCTGAGACAGAAGAATTGCTTGAACCTAGGAGGCGGAGGTTGCAGTCAGACAAGATCGTACTACTGCACTCCAGCCTGGATGACAGAGCGAGACTCTGTCTCAAAAAAAGAAGAAAGAAAAATAGTAACTGCCAGGGGCAGTGGCTCTCACCTGTAATCTCACTGCTTTGGGAGGCTGAGGTGAGATGATCACTTGAGCCAAGGATTTCAAAATTAGCCTGGGCAATGTAGTGAGACATTCTCTAAAAAAAATTTTTTAACTAGCCAAGCATGGTGGCACATGCCTGCAGTCCTAACTATTCGGGAGGCTGAGGCAGAAATATCACCCAGGAGTTTGTGATTACAGTGAGCTATGATGGTGTCACTCCAATCTGGGTAACAGAGTGAGACCCTGTCTCTAAAAATAGTAATAACAATATCTCAGTGGGGAAAGAATTAAGATACATTTATGGCACTGCTTCAAACTTAATTTTTTTAATTTTAATAGGGAATCCCACCCCTACTACCTCTCTTTTTAAGAAACTGTCTGCAGATCCCCAGCATGTAAAATATATAAAAGTGGGTCAGGCACAGTGGTTCACACCTGTAATCCCAGCACTTTGGGAGACCGAGGTGGGTAGATGGCTTGACCTCAGTAGTTCGAGACCAGCCTGGCCAACACAGAAAAACGCTGTCTTAACTAAAAATACAAATATTTACCAGACATCGTGGCACACACCTGTAGTCCCAGCTACCCAGGAGGCTAAGGCAGGAGAATCTCTTGAACCCTGGAGGCAGAGATTGCAGTGAGCCAAGATCACACCACCGCACTCCAGCCTGGGAAACAGTGTGAGACTCTATCAAAAAAAAAAATGTATATATATATATATATATGGAGGTAGAGAGAAGGCTGATCCCCATCACCTCAGCTCTCTTCTCTTGCTGCTCTGCTCTACAGAGCCAGGAAACAGCATCAATAACATATTGGCTATTTTAAGCTGGGTATCACCATCAGTAAACTCCTTAAGAAGCATCATGTTCTCATTTACATCCTTAACTACAAAGTCATGTGCTGCATAATGAAGTCTTGGTCAACAACAGACCATATATATGAGAGTGGTCCCATAAGATTATCATATCATGTCTTTACTGTATCTTCTTTATGTTTAGATAAACAAATTTTTGCCATTGTGTTACAATAGCCCACAGGATTCAGTACATATGCTGTGCAGGTTTGTAGCCTAGAAGACACAGGTTACACCATACAGCCTAATGTGCAGTAGGCTGTGTAGCACCTAGGATTGTGTAAGTGCACTCTATGGCATTTGCACAACAATGGAATTGCCTAATGATGCCTTTCTCAGAACATATCCCCATCATTAATCAACGCATCACTGTATCTGTCTGCTGTTTAAATGCCTATAGGTGTCTATGTTGTGCCAGCATGTCAATATGATTAAACATACCTGAAATTCAAATATGAGTAACTGAGACATTCTATTTATCAGTCAATAGTATGTGTTTTCCTTCACAGCAAAACTACAATAGGAACTAATTCTAACTAACGTGTTTTCCAACATTACTCTTTGCTTTTGTCCACATGAAGTTAATGTCATAGGTAAAAACCCATTGTAGAGGTGCAAATGGGGAAATCTGGCAATTCCGACATAATATGGCTAAATTTCTACCTTGATATCTGCAACTTACAGTGTCTAGTTCAAGTCTCATTTCACAAAGGGTAAAGCCAGAGAGGCTGGTGCCCAAGGCCATGGCAAGTACTGCAGGGGCAGGGGGCTTACTTATCAATGCCAGTGAACATAAGTAAGTGGAAATTTCTGCAGCTCAATCATCAGACAGCAGACAATCCAGACTAGCACTGTCCAATGGAACTTTCTGAGTGATGGAAATGACCTGGGTCTGTATGTGCACTGTCCAGTATGGTGGCCCTCTGCAACGTGACCTAAAATGTAGCAGTGTGACCAAGGAACTGAATTTTATATTTTAGTTGATTTTAACTTGTTTTCATTTCAATATAAATAGCCACATGTAGCTAGTGGTTACCATATTGGGCAGAGTAGGCCTAGACTGACAGGTCTAGTGGGTTTCATGTGATGACAATTGAATTAACCACTGCAATAAAACTAAGGATAGGTGAGAGCGGCTCCAAGCAAGAGAAGGACTTACCATCTCCATCCTCTCCATAGGCCAGAAAAGGAGGAATGGTGATGATGCGCTTCTCACCCACACACATCCCCAACAGCCCTTTGTCCATTCCAGGAATCAGCCAGCCAATTCCCACATATGTGTCATATGTTTTCATGCGATTGTGACTGAAAGCCAATGAGAAAGGGGAAAAGTTTCACACGATGAGGATGTTTCCAACTCATCTCTCGGTACCGTTTTTGTTACCAAAATATCAGCTAAACAGTGATCCCATACCCATCCCTAGAGATAGGCATTTATAGATCTTTGCCCCCAAACACAGGGCAGATGTCTTTAAGTTTAGAAAGAAATAAAAAGCATGCATTTATACTAGTGGTAGACAAAAACAGGCCAGTTATTTCACTAATCAAACACACTCTAATGAGAAGAAATTTCGAAGGGTTCCCTGATCTCCGGCATAGCCACATGCCTCTCCATAGCTTCAAATACATTCATCTTTCCCCTCCTGTTTCCATGGGAAAGCTATAAAAATGAACCAAAATGTGTGTAAGCCTCCTTAGAAATAGAGCCTGGCCAGGCGCAGTAGCTCACGCCTATAATCCCAGCACTTTGGGAGGCCAAGGCAGGTGGATCACAAGGTCAGAAGATCGAGACCATCCTGGCCAACACAGTAAAACCCCATCTCTACTGAAATACAAAAAATTAGCTGGTCATAGTGGCGCACGCCTGTGGTACCAGCTACTCAGGAGGCTGAGGCAGGAGAATCCCTTCAATCTGGAAGGCGGGGGTTGCAGTGAGCTGAGATTGCGTCACTGCACTCCAGCCTGGGTGACAGAGTGAGACTCTGTCTAAAAAAAAAAAAAAGAAATAGAGCCTTTTACTTAATGATGAGATATCAAAATACAGTTAAGTTAGATAAACATTGCTCTTCACGTTTCTAAGATGTATTAAAATTTTGACTGTGGCACCACAGAAGATGCAGCACTGACCAAAAATCTTAAGTAGATGAGTTCAGCACTGGTTACAATTGAGAAGAGTCCTTATTCTTGTTTCCCCATGGGCATAAAAAGCAAGTAAGACAGAAGGAAAGAACTATGGGACATTTCACTGATATTGCCATGAACCGCAGAACTTACCTCGAATCAAACAGAGTCCCATCCAGGAACGTCCCATTGTAGTGGTACCTCACAAAATCAGACACTTGGATGGTCCGAGGGCAACTCGGGGGCTTGAAATAGGTGTGAATCTGAACCTGGTCTTCAGAATTCCAAATATCCATCAGAAGTACATCAAAATGAAGCACTGAATTGGGGGGGATCACGCCAGCTAGAAATTAAAGATTTCACAATGAATTCACAGTTGCTGCCTTTCAGGCCAGATAAATAAACACCTAGGATGCTGCCAAAGCGAATGTGGGCCAAAAAAGTTCAAGCAGTCACTGCTATACAATTCCAAAATGCCCCATTCTTCCTCCCTCTTTCCTCCAAATAAAATTGAAAGAAAAGAGAAAAAACAAAGTTTTCTTCTCATTGACAGTATCATTCAATACACCTGTGTTAATGACACTTTCTTTCACATCTAGAAGAAACAAACCTAAGATGGAAATTTTAGCTGTGTATGAGTTCACTGCTTTTCACTTCCCCCCAGTCTAAAGATTCCAAGATTTTCCAGTCTGTTTGACTTATTAACAGCCTAAAAGTGTTCTCGTTGTTTCTGCAGGGGAGATGTGTTTATAAATGAGGAACAAAAGCTTACAAACTCCTTCACTTCCATAGGCAAGCTTTGGGGGAATCTTCACGAAACGTCTCTCGTTTACACACATCCCAACAAGAGCCTGGTCCATCCCTGCGATCAGCTGTCCTTTTCCCACAAACACGTTGAAAGTGGAGTCTCTGTCATAGCTGAAGACCCGAAGGGTAGGGAGAGAGAAAGAAAAGTGTAAGTAGTCCCTTCCTCAGTAAAACCAACCTGTAAAAATGTGCCCATGGGCATAATGTAGCCACAGCAAAGCAAAAAGCCTGCCAAGGAGTTACTGATACAGGAACATCTCCACTGGACAGTACTTGTGGGGTTGGAAAGTTTAGACTATCTTGAATATTGCCAGCAAATCTAGCTCAATACGAATCAGCATAACTCTCTTTAGAAAAAAAAATGTGGGCTGTGAGGGTGATCTGACTGCGACATCTGTCACCCCATTGATCGCCAGGGTTGATTTGACTGATCTGGCTGGTTAGGCGGGTGTCCCCTTCCTCCCTCACCGCTCCATGTGCATCCCTCCTGAAGCTGCATGCTTGGTCAAAGAGGACGACCATCCCCAATAGAAGAGGACTGGCCTTCGGTCAAGGGTGTATGAGTAGTTGCGCTCCCCTGCTAGAACCTCCAAACAAGCTCTCAAGAAAAAAAAATATGGTAAGCTGATTTTGCAAAATAGTTACCGTTTCTTTCACACACACACACACAGAAGAAAGACGGCTATAGTCATGCTAGGGCTTTGAGAGGCCAAGGTAAGAGGATCATTTGAAGCTAGGAGTTCAAGACCAGCCTGGGCAACAAAGAGGCATCTCCTTTCTACTAAATAAATAAATACCTATAATTAGCCACATGTAGTGGTGCATGCCTATAGTCCCAGCTACTTCAGAAGCTGAGATGGGAGGAGCACTTGAGCCCAGGAGAGTGAGGCTGCAGTGAGCTATGACTGCACCACTGCATTCCAGCCTGGGGGACAGATTCTCAAAAAATAAAATAAAATAAAAAAGACTTTACGGCCAGGCACAGTGTCTCACACCTGTAATCCCAGCACTTTGGGAGACCAAGGAGAGTGGATAACATGAACTCAGGAGATCGAGACCAGCCTGGCCAACATGGTAAAACCCCATCTCTACTAAAAATACAAAAAATTAGCCAGGCGTGGTGGCACACACCTAAAGTCCCAGCTACTCGGGAGGCTGAGGCAGAAAAATCGCTCAAACCCGAGAGGTGGAGGTTGTTGTAGTGAGCCACAATTGCTCCACTGCACTCCAGCCTGGGCAACAGAGTGAGACTCCATCATCTCAAAAAAAAAAAAAAAAAAAAAAAAGACGTGTTTTGAGGACATGTGCCCAATCCATGCATCTTTTCCTGAGAA